TGACAAGCAGGTCTCAGCAGGTTATACCAACAAATTTTATTATTAAAAGTTTCAGATCAAGTTTGCTATTGGTAGAAAAAAATTTATTTCTTTAAACCTGGATTGTTTTCTGCCAAAACTAATGTTTTATAAGACTTCATGTTTGAAATTTTATTAGGATTTCATTTATATATATATCTAGATTTAACATAGCTGCTGTGTTTTAAATTTCAAGAAATGTATCTGGTAGAAATGGATGCACTTATAGCGAAAGAAATTTTAATAGTTCAAGTTCTAAATGAAAGAATGACACTTAATCCTAAGAAAAATTTTTGTAAAAGAATAGTGCACCATTGCGTAACAAACAATTCAACAGAGTTAATAACTTTGAGGGCCAAAATTCAGCTAGAATCATAGTTCCATTAATAATGATGATGATGATGAATAATTTTGTTAAAGTTCCAGTAACATATTATAGTGCTTTGAATGAAATCGTAGACGTATGTCCTGTAATCCGCACAAAGTTTACTCTTAGTCTGTTATAACTACTTACCAAGAATATCCTCCCTTCCTCCTCTCACTAGTTTTCAAATTTGGCTTAGATATATTTGTTGTTGTTGTCTAAATACTAACTCTTTTATATTCTAATATCAGCCTTTCCCTTGATTACTGGAGTTTGGTTTCAATTTATGAGCTTTACGATCCAACGACTTAAATTTTTTCATTTTACATGTTGATATCAATTTACAAGCAATATCAATAATATTACATGTATATAGCATAATATTTAACAGCGGACCCATTGATAAAGTAAATATGTAAACAAATAAATGGTATCTACATTATTTTCTATACTCTCCTTTGTAGTGTAGAAGTACCAATTTTTAACCAATAGTACTTATAAAGTTCGAGTTAATTTCAAACTGCCTGAAATTATCCCTGTTGTTGTTGAGATCCCACATGGTTCCGTTCTATACCCCCTCTTTTAAATGTTTTTACTTCGGACATCCGTAGCCCTCCCCGTGACGATAAGGTAAACACGACAATTATAAGGCTTTGTGTTTATTCAATTATAATTTTTTCTGATTTCTGCCGTTTTTATTTTCTACTTTTGCTACTTCTACGACACTAATTCAGCCTTTAATGTCACAAAAAACCAATACAAACACCAAAATTACTTAGAAACAACATTTTAGCAAACACGGTGGTGAGTAAAGACGCGGTGGTCAAAATATTTAAAGTGGGGATAATATAACGGCATTGTGTAGCACTGGGCTTTTTGTTTTTGTGCTGCATAATATTTTCAACTCATTACACAAATGTTTAAGTATTTATTTGATAATAGAAAAAATATTTTACACAATTTTTAGAGCTAGTCAGTTTCTATTCTTTATTTTCTTTGTTTATCAACAGCTTAAATATTCCTAATTGTTGCATTTTCACATCAATATTGCATAGTGTTTCTTACTTCGCATTATTTTGTTATAATTTTCTTTAATTTTTTTACATAAAAAATTCGGTAAAATTTGATTTCACAAAATATTTAAAATAAATTTTGTTTTTCTAAATTTCATTCCCCACTCTCTTCAAAATTTGAGCTCAAAATTGTTTTGTTTCGTTTTGAATAAAAATTTTTGACTGATAATGACGTATATAGGCAAAGGATCTGGGTTCAACCAAAAGACTAGCATGATATCTGCTATGCGTGAAGACATAAAAAGTTATAGAAATTTAAATACAACAGCACCTAAAGATGAAAACTATCGGCTAGCAATCAGAACAACTTACTTAGCATTCAAACTTCCAGAACGTGTAAAATTATGCCACCTTTGCGATGTTTTTAAAAAGGATTTACCCATTTGGTCCTCATCTCCTGGTCTTCCTTGGATAAATATAGGATATAGAACAAAAGGTGACATTCAAGCTGACCCGGAAGCAGTACAATCCGTACGAAGATTATGGTGTAGGATAAAGCGTGGTGAAAATCTTAAGTTGCCTGACTGCTGTGCTTATGTCAGTTCACAAATTGTAGAACAAGGAAAAATAAATGTAGAGTGGAGATATCCTGCTTCTGTTACATTTGCAGAAGCCATTTACGTTATTCCACTTATCGAAGCATATAAGGCAAACGCATTGAAAATATATCCTATAGATTATGACCTTAAAAATGGTTTAAAAGGATGTAGGAAGTTGTACTCTAGTTTTAAAGGTAACTATTTTCTTGGTATTGTTTTTAAAAGCTTTAATAAAACTTTGCCGCCTTGGTTAATTGAAAATGCTTATGATATATTAATCTTAAACATCGATTTAACTGCATATGAAAACTATGGAATACCTATCACAAAACAAATGTTCGATATATTTGAGATTTTAAAAAATTATGCTATCAATACTCCGATACAGTTGCAGAATGGAGAACGTTATAAGAAAAATTACGGTTTAGCTAATGGAAGTTATTTTTCTGATCTCGCAGAAAGCGTTTGCAATTATTTTTTAATCACATATGCATGCTTAAAACTGGGAATAAAAATCATATCTATTAAGGTGTTTAGACATAATTCAATCATCGGAATTGACAAGTCATTAACTCTTAATGATATTTCATCCGTTCTCGAGTCACTTGGAATTACTCTTAATGTGACAAAATCTTGTTGTGTGACAAATATTAGACGTTTGAAATAATTTACGGATCACAACAGTTACGTCACGTAGGGTTTCTAATATTATATATGTAGGGGATCAAATAAAAAATATATGTAAATAAAATATTTAAAAATTTGTATAATAAATATATTCTTTTATAGAAAACAAATGCTTCTTTAGTGTATATATATATTATGTATATCTAAAAAAGTTTAGTCTAAAATCTTGTATTGGTTAGGAATTATTTTTATGCCGGTTAATAAATTTAATTGTAATGCCATGTTCATATTACATTAATTTAGCTACTAAGCTTTGCTAATGTCAGTTACCTAATGTCGAGCGTTTACATGATCCCTTTGGCTTTTCATTTTATCAGTTGTGAGTTTGTCAAAGTTTGGTTGTGCCTACTTTAATATGAGAAAGTAAGCTTTCATACATTTCCGTTATTGGCTAATACAGACATCCATTGCCGCGCCAACCAGTCGGATCAGTTGCTTGCTGTCGCCAGTTGATAGTAGCGAGCGACCCCAAATCGTTGGTCACCTGGTCTTCTCACCTAAGATGCGGACGTTCTCTACTCGCTGCGGGTACCGTATCAAATACCTTTCTAGCCGGAGGCCGGAATGCTATTCGCACGATATGACCAAGCCAGCGAAACGAAGTAAACCGGCAAGCTGCCCTATTTAGCACTATCTAATCTCAGAGTAATCACTAACCGCAAGGGGTGATACGCAGATCTTAGATCAGTCATTGAATAAACACGAAGCTTATAAGGAATACAAAAATTACTCAGTGAGATAGGTGGGTCTCTGCAGAAACACCACAGCTATCAAAGAGAAAAAGTGCCCAGATGCACTAACTCGGAAAAGGCTCAACTAGAAAACAAAGTTGATTCTGTGAACATGGTATAAGAGAATCGATTAAAATAACCATTGACAAACATTTAACTACAATCATTAAATGATATTTTATTAAATATTCTTCTTTACATAAATATATATAATATACTAATAGACATCAAAAATATACTTGTAATTCTTAAAATGTAAATTATATGATTAAACACTTGCAACATATTTTTAACTCATTTGGAATCATTCCATCATAGCTAGTATTTAGTATACTTGTTTTAGATATAATTAATATAAATCTATTGTTATATAATTATGTATATGTATATATTAAAATGATTATTGTTAAAATATAAACGAATTTTAATATATAATATAAAAAAATATATTAAAACACATATATTTATTCTGTGAAGTACAAAATTAAATAATACAATATTTTAATATATATTGTTATTATAAGTAATCTATGTGCCAATCTTATAAAATTAAAATTTTAAAAATTTTTATAAATCAATACAAATATGCCATATAAAGTTATAATTTATAAATTAATAATTTAATTCGCCATGCTTATTTGGAACTACAATCATAATTCTAAAAACAATAAATTTCATTTAATCAATTCTAATTAATTAGTTTTTTTATATAATTTAATTATATATAATTAATTTAACTTATTCACCAAAAACATTAAATGTTTAAAAAAAATTTACTTTCAATACAAAAAATTTATACGGTAATATTAATATTTTATTCGATGGCAGTAAATAAAACTTTTCTGTCCAGTACTGGGAGTTCGACTTTTTATGTATATGGGGTATATTCTTCGGTATTCTATAAATATTACTTATATTTATTTCTGTATACAAAATTATTATTAACATTATTTTGGCAACACTGCACCTCTGACTAAACATTTTTAAACCTCTTTTTTTTCACATTTATATTTATTATATAAAAAATTAGGAGTACACATGTATATGATAAGATATATATAGCCAAATTAAAAAAAAAACAATATCTGGATTTTTTAATTTCGGTTATGGAGTGCAAAATATAATTTGAAATTTTTAATAAAATTATGCCCAATAATTTATGGACTATACGCTGGAATTTCAAGAACGAATTTTGATCATGTATTAAATGTTTTGATAATATTAAAAAAAGAATTAAGTACAATTTTTATAAAGTACGTGAGCAATTAAAAGGTTTAATTTAGAATTTTTAAGAAACTCGTACAATTTTCTTTCTTTATGTCTATTCACACAACAAAGCTTCAATCTATTTTTAAATTATAATTTTCTTCTTGCTTACTTCGCGAAAAGTCTGTTGTGTGAACAGACTTAATTAAGATAAATCTTAATTTTATCTTAATAACTTCACTTTGTTTCTAATTTTGGTTCACATAATTTTTCTCGTGAATAAAAATGACAAACTTTGAAACAATATAAATTCAAAATTTAATTTTAACATGATTTTATACATATTACAATTGAATTGAATTTTTGTATAGAATCAATTTCTGATTTAAATTCGACTTAACGAAATTAAAATTAAGAACGAAATTAAGATTCTTTGTGTTGTCCAAATACAGACTTTAAGAAAATTCATATTGTATAATAGAAGAAAATTTTCTATTTAATATGAAATAGAAATATTATTTTTATGTACTTGTTTGACTCCATTCCTTGAAAGCCTGTTTACACAGCAAATCTTGATTTCATCTTATATCCAATTCATATTACAAAGTTAAGGTTTCTTGCAGAAACCCTATTTGTTCTCAAAGTAGCTTCAATCAAAAATTAAAGTAAATTGCGAAAATTGAGAAACAACTAGAGCTAATTATGTGATAATGCGAGAGCGTAAAAGAGGAAAACAGAAATTTTTAATTAAATTTGCATATTGCTTATACTTGCGCCAGAAGGTTTTAAGAGAGTTTGAAAACCACAAACAACAATAACTTCAGAAAGTTATAAGCAGTGTGAATTGCATATTTATTTTGTTTCTCGTTTTTATAACGAAGTGAGCTGAACGAGAAGAATGCAAAATTACGATCTCTTGTGTTCTATAGATAGACTATTAAGCAGCAGATATAACAGATAATTATAAATTCTTTCATGTAATGTATATTATGTTTATGATAAATTTTAAATAACATATACAAAACACAGTTCTGTATAAATATTAATAATGTTTCACCACATTGAAGTCATGTGATTGAAATCACTAGATCGTAAAAGACTGCCGCCTCAATTAATATTAGATATCATACATGTATATCATGTATATATACATATATATTGAGTGGTATGCGAAACCATAAAATAATTATACGTTAAGTACTTTAAATTATAAAAATGACTGAAATAAAAAGAATTATAGATGATAATTCGGTAATATAGGAATCGCATTAGTTACATATAAACTGATCAGATATCAGCGTTTGAGAATAGTTCTTGACATAAAGAAATCTTCCATATAATAAGTTACATATTATTTAACTACAACTAAAGCATTTATAGAAATGCTATTGAATGTATTAGATTAGATGTAACAGAGATTTTAAACTATTTAAGTATTTAAAAAAAACTTAACTGCTGCTGTTTACTCGATTGTTGTTGTTGCTGTTGTTGTATTTGTAATGTTGAAGAATTTCGAAATAACAAATTTGATTTCGAATTCTTTAACATATTGTTGACATTGCTGCTAGTGATGTTGTTAGTTATGTTTCCGTTAATGTTGTAATGCACAGCCGACATATGTTAGAAGAGACGTTTCTCATATGAGAACAAGCCATGAACATTGCCTTCAACTTGAGCGGAATGTGTACGTTTCATAAAACGTAATTCACCATTGTAAATCATTTTTCTATAAAAACATATAAGTAAGTTTATATTATAATTTTAAAGTTAAAACATATATGAAAATCACACTCATATTAACATACTTTAACTCATCAATCGAACGTGCGCCAATATCTTGACAACTATGCTGTAAGCCACATTCCAAATATGGTAAATAATGTAAAACAGATCCTTTGTCAACAATACTACCGCTAACACCTTGTGCTACCTTTAATTTATCCATTTCGTTATGATAATAACGCGACATGGCAGCACCTTTAGCATCTCGACGTTCCATTGCTTCAAGTGAACCCATGCCACGATATTTCTTAAGACGAACACCATCAGAAAAGAAATATTCACCAGGTGCTTCAGAAGTGCCGGCTAATAATGATCCCATCATAACTGCACTAGCACCCAAAGCCAAAGCTTTTACAATATGTCCAATCGATTGTATACCACCGTCAGCAATAACTGGTACGCCAAATTTTTTGGCATATGTGGAAACTTGATGTACAGCTGTTGCCTGTGGACAACCACAGGCCATAACTTCTTGAGTTATACAAATTGATCCAGAACCCATACCAACACGCAAACCATCAACGCCTGCATCGATGAGATTTTTGGCTTGGGCACGAGTAACAACTGAAAAATATCAAAAATAATTTATTATTAATTAAAAATTTAATCTTGAAATCAAATCAATTAAATTATTTGTTGTATTTTTTCAACAAATTTTTTAAAATAAAAAATAAAATTCAAACGTTTTAAAATATATATAGATCCATTAAAACTTTTAAAATATATGTCTTAAATCCAAAAAAAAAAATATATATTTAATATAAATATCTACAAAATACGAATACGCGGGTTACTATATAGATTAGATATGAGGTAGCCGAGATTTCAAAGTCGCTTTCGATCGATATGTCGTTGTTCCGGTAACGCACGGAGATCTATACAGGAGATAACGTGAAAGTAATTACAAATACGGGTACATGGATTAAAATATGGTTAAGCAAAGGAAATGTGAAAAGAGACGTTATTATTTGGTAGTAAGAGTGGATTGAGGCATGGCGGGCTATAAATCTATTTCATAGATTTCAGAAGTGGCCAAGTCCCGTTCACCATTTCTAAAATAAACTGTACCAGTAGGTACTTATTTTTTATTTTTTAAAGTCGCTTCTAATACTGCTACTAAAAGCACTATTTATGCAAAACTTATACAGCTATGTAAAATTACTGTGAGACCTACCACTCTGCTAGATTTGGGAAAATCATCTCCGCTTAGTACTTCTTTTCTAGATTTTGGTCATACGCATGTTACACTTCACATAAAGCTTAATATTAACAAGTCTTTATTCTTTTAATTGAAGATATTTAATATCTGAATTCTTGACTCTCTGAGTAGTTCTTCTTTTCTAGATATCGGTCATACGCATGTTACACTTCACATAAAGCTTAATATTAACAAGTCTTTATTATTTTAATAGAAGAGATTTAATATCTGAATTCTTGAGACTCTATGAGTAGAAACCGAAGTCATTCATTTAAACAAACGAACAAGTACCAATCATCCCCCCAGTAGGGCTTCTAAAAAATCACTTATGGGGAAGGTACAAAGACAATAACATTATTAAGTATTCAGTAATATTCACTGACAGTAAATATAATTTTATTATTAAAAACAACGTAGTTATAAAAACGAAATCGTGAAATTATTTCTGTTGTTGTCGTCTCGCTTTCCGTTTCCCCCACCCTCACCCTAAACACCACTCATCCACATACCAATCCATGTATTCGTCTTGTAAACCTTACATGTTATCTGCTTTCAGATCTCGGAGGGTTACAACAACAACAGTTATCTTTCCGTTCACTTATTTGTTTGATTTATATTTGAAACCAAAAATTTTTATCGTTTATTAAACCCTACAACCAGAAAGGCAATTGATTATTTGGACGACATAATCACTAGTTTGGACTTGAACGAGCTATTTGTAGTAGATAATTTCACCTTTAGAATTGGATATAAGTTGTAGAAAAAAATTAAATTTTATATAAACTATTATCAGTTTGGGAATACATATTTTAATAAATAATATTAAATATTATTTATAGTATGAATGAGTATGTTTAATAATATAATGAAATGATTATTAATTTACAAGTTGAAACTGCGCAATTAGTATACACACAAAAAATACAATTTTAGATACAAACTGATAATTAAATTAAATAAAAAGTATTTTTACAAAGCGTGACTAACAGAATTTTGATAAATTTTAAGTTGTGTCAAATATTTTCAACATAAATGAAATGCTGGTTACGCTGAGTTAAATATGATTAGGATAAGTATCACTAGAAACTAGTTAGAGTACCAACGTACTAGTATGTCCCCCACTCTAATCTTAATTAACCGTCCCCTAAGAAGTGATTAAGTTAAGGGAACACTAACTGGACTTGATGTATGAGACTGGAGAGGGGGGTCCACCCAGCAAAGGCACCTGGAGACACATGCTGTCAAAACCTGGTAATGGGTTGTTATGGTCAAATAAGTAAGTTAGTAAGTACCGTCAGTTAACCCTTCCCTATCCACATCCTAACTCATATATTCGTCTTACAAATCATATTATGTCATCTGCATTCGAGATTCCTGCGGGTTACACCAACATAAACTTACTACTATTAGTAGTAGGTCGGAACGCTGAGACCTATGAAATCTATTTTACTCATTATATTTTGTCTTTTCCTCACAAGACTTTCAATCAGTTACTATGTCTTTATTTAAAAACACACAAGAACAATTATAAAAAGATATATTATCTATATATATCGTGCAAATTTACAAATCTGTGGTCTACAAATATTTAGAGTGATTTATAGTCATTTTAGTTAGTGCTTGTAGTAATCCGCTGAGACCTGCTTGTGAAGTCCCTTTAGGGAGTGTTGAACGGTGCTTGGTTGTCGAAGGGTTCCGGGACGTAGACCCAGCCATTTTCCGCATTGTTGATTAGAATTTTAGAGCACTTAAAATAAAGGAAACCTTACAATTATAGAATTTTCCACATATATGTGAGACTGAACACTCACTTAAGTGGAAAATGAAGTTAAATGAAATCATAAAAAATCCATGACATGATTATGGATTTTAGGGCAAAATAATTGTTAAATATACAATTATTTTGCCAAGTTTTCACTTAACTTGGTAATTTAGGGTAAATAGGTAAATAGAATTAGACTAGATTTAGTAAATAATTATTTTTTAGCATTATGATGCCAGACATCAATATTTCAGTTGCGATGTTTAAGTTTCTTTTGAATACGTGAAGAGCAAAGCTTTTTAAGTTCTAGAACTATTATTTTTAATTTTTAATTTGAAAGAAACTAATTTACATGTTTAAAAAATATTTATGGCCTTAACAGAATTAATAGAGATAATTAGTAGCTTTTTTATAAAAATCTTATTGAAATTAAATCAGGTAATAAATGTTCATGTATTTATCACTGTGTATTTAATAAAACACACTAATACATATGCATTAAACAATGTCTATGTTTATTTTTGACGACCTCATTATGCCTAACCCACGATCATTTGCATTTCTAATTTTGAGCGCCGTCACTGACAGAGAGTGCTAGACCATCTTTTATATATTAGATATAGAAATGGAGATAGATATCAATAATGATATAGATATTAATATAGATAAAAACATCAATTTAGATATAGATATCAATATAAATATAGACATCAATATAGATATAGATATGAATATAGATATATATATACAAATATAGATATAGATTTTCATATACACGTCAGTAGATACAGATTCACATATAGATATATGCATATACATATAGATAAAGATATACTGGTATAAATATAGATACGTACATTTATATGCAGTCATGTATAAATATAAATAAGAACGTAGATATAGACTTAAATATAGATAGATACATAGATATAGGTATAGAAGAAAATATATATCTTATATATATATTTCTTCTGTACGTGTGTTGACAGTGAACTCCTCCTAAACGGCTGAATCGATTTTGATGAAATTTTTTGTGTGTGTTCAAGTGGATTGAAGGAAGGTTTAGATTCACAATTTGACCCACTGGATAATGTCTTATTAATTAATTTTTTATTTTTTGGTATCCATGTACATTTATATTAGAAATTTAAAATTTATTCATGCTTACTTTGATTTGTTTAAAAAGTTTAAAATCTCTAAAATGAATCGTAAAACTGCCGTTGCATAGCTTAAATGCATTTAAATTCCGCAGTATAATTATAGGTGAGTCAATTTTTAATCTTAAGTTATGTGGTGGTATTCCTGGAAACTCCAGCGAATTCAAAAATTCAACAGGATAGTTGAACGATTCATTTTAGAGTTTAAACTTTTTAAACAAATCAAAGTAAGCATAAATAACTTTTAAATGTCTAATATAAATGTATATGGATACCAAAAAACTGTATAATAATTAAAAAAACGTTATCCAGTGGACCAAATTGTGAATCTAAACCATCCTTGAATTCACATGAATACACACAAAAAAGAAGAATTATATATATAAAGATATAAATAACGTACAAAAAATGCCACGTCTTCGTGGACGAGGAAGAAATATTGGTCGACGGATTCGGAATTCACAATTACTCCAGAACCGACGGTTAAATAGATCGGCAGAAAACAATGAAAATGTAAGAAACCAGGATACAATCACACGTGCTAATGAAAATCAAGAGCAACGCAACGAACGCCTTCGAGCTAATCCATTGAGGCAAAGACTGGCCCGTCAACGAGTCACCGACACATTCAGTATACAGCGTTTGCAAGTATATCGCGCATTGACACGTGCATCATTTCATCGTCTTGCGTTTGAATATGAGTCGAATATCGACTATTCGTCACATTCACGAATTGTAATCGGTGCTATGACCAAACATTGCCAACACTGTCATGCACTCAAATACAAAGCTGAATCGGCCGGTTTCTGCTGCGCAGATCAGTTGAACAACTGGATCAATTCAGTTAGTTGTTCAATACCGTTTCAAACTGACTGCTAAACGACAACTATACAATCGTCATCAAAGCAGACAAAGTACCATCTGGGCAGCACGCGGGCCGATATAATGCACCGACTATTAATGAAGTTGCAGTTGTTATGGTTGGCGACGCATTTGAACGTCGAGATATACGAATACAACGCAGAGATAACACAGTGCCTACGATTGCAGACAGTCATCGCTCTTACGACGCTTTGCAATATCAATTGATATCTTTTTATCATTTAAAATGTAGTGCTTATAAGGATTTGAAGTAACATGAAAATATTTGTAACATAAGTAATACATGTGAACTTTTTGTAGTTCAAAAGAAAAAATCAATTCAAAAGGTTAAGTTGAATAACAACAAATATAACTCAGCTGAGCTACGAAAATTAATTGCAAGGGGAAACAACGTTCGCCGGGTCAGCTAGTATATATATAAATATATAGATTTAGAAGTAAATATATATATATAAATATATAGATTTAGAAGTAAATATATATATATAAATATAGAAGTAAATATATATATATAAATATAGAAGTAAATATATTTAGAAGTAAATATATATATATAAATATATAG